GGCCCGGCCCGGCGGCGCCAGGTCTCGAGCGGTGCAGCGCGCGCGCCCCGCCCGGGGCGGCGCAGCAGCAAATGAGGAAGCTCCCGGAGAGGCAGACACGTGCTGGGAAGGCAGCGAGAGAGCGGTCATCCTCTGACACGTAGCCACGGCCTCGTTAGTGCTGCTTACTCAAAAAATAGTAATTGGCTGGACTCGGTACCCGCAGACCTGTTTTAATCGTACAAGCACTCGCAGTGCATCAGAAAAACACGTTTTATTTACCCACCTACCCCTCTTTGGGCCTTCCGATCTTGTAAAACTACTCTGCTGTCTTCTTAAAAGATCTGCCTTTGCTTGCCCCGCTGCTCTGTAAGAGTCAGGTACTTCTGAAACTGAAAAAGTCCAGGCTGTTTCAAGACTCGGTGCTCTCCCACTACAGCTGAAACACAGGCCACAAGAAGATCTTGCACTTTCCTGCTCTTAATGCTTTTTCTAGTAGCATAGATATTTAAACATTACCTTTGACTGATGTGAAGCAGCCAGTATGTCACCTATAAGAGCCAAAACAAATTCCAGTGCATGATTACCACACAGGAAACAAAGTAATCCAGAGCTTCTGCTACCCCTGAGGCCCCATAATTACCACCTGGAATCCAGCATGTTCTAGTTGGAGGAGCACAAAAATAGGCACAGGAGAAAGGGGCTGGGATATATATATATAAATATATATATATATTCTGACTCAATTTCCTCGTTGTTTCAGTCATGCATGTATTATGAGCTTAATCACTGTCTCTAAAATATAAAAACATGTTACTACTGTTGATGAAAACACACTACTCATCTTCCACCCCTTCCCATCAACTCATGAACTGGGCAGAGAGCAGAAAGGAGGCAGCGCTGCACTTTATCCAGGAACAAGGATGACACCTTAGCATGTTTTTGATCTTCTAGACTCTTGAAAGATTTTGAAGAGTGCCCTATAAGGAATAGACTTGACTGTACAATCTTTGAATTAATTAATGGTTCCCAAAAGCTGTGAATATCTTCATGCACTCTTTTGCACTTACCTTGGAAATGCTGGACTCTACCCTCAAAATCCACTATTGCTCTACAATAAAATAATTTCGTAAGAAAGCACTGCCAGCAGCACTTCTGATTAAAGTCTCTTGAGAAAGCCCTGCACTGCACTTCGACCATGTCCACGCCGATGTTTGCCCTTCGCTCCCTCCCCAGTGCAGGATCATGGATGTCCCCTGCTCCTTGCAGCTGCCAGCTGACCCGTGAGGCTCAGAGTGGCTGCTGCCTTTCCCCATGCCCGTGGGCCTGCTGCAGGCTGCCTCAGGGCCCAGGAGTGTCCCCAGACACCCTGCTGTGCAGACAGGGCCTGGCACTGCCCCTGCAGCAAACACACGAGCTCACAGCCTTGTCCAGCTGCTTGTCCCTCTCCTCCCTTGAGTTGATTTGTATATTCATGAAGATTTTGATTATAGATTTGCATTATTCTGTATTTTGTTAGAGCAGCAAAGTAGATCTCTCGTCTCAACTGAAATAAAGAAACCTTGTCTTTCCTGTAAGGACATTTATTTAAAAAGATGACCTAACATGCAACATGCATGCACACACTCTGCACAAGAGCTCTATTCTAGGTTCAGTAAGTGTGCTGAAGGTACCAATTCACCATTGTCAGCACCTGTTAAAGGAAGCATTTTGACTTCATCACATGGATGTTGACAGCCCCACAAACTCCTAAACATGTGAGTTCCCCTTAATATCACACACAATTCTTTCTAGAATCCAGTCCTAACCAGAGATGCTATGTACTTGACCTTTTATTCTCCTCCATAATTTTCAGAACCACGAGCAGATTTGCATAAATAAATTATGAATACAAATAATTTTTATTTTAAAACTTTATTAAATTACGCAGTAAAGAACCCATCTCCACACAGGTGTTTCATTTCTGGATAGCAGAGGTATAATACATGAGCCACAGGTGAGTGCATTACCCCTCCCTTCCCCCGACTTCCAAGAAATAAAACAGCATGTATAATACACTCTTATTACTCTATGGTACTCCAAACAAATTGTTCATAAGTTTTTTTCTTTTTAAACTGGAGAAAAGTAAAAAGGACTAACAGCGTGAAGTATCTTGTTCTGCGTATGAATGTTCTTCACTGCAACATTCAAACACCTTCTTGCAATACGCGGCGTGGCAGAGGGTTCAGGCAGCGATGACTGTGGAATGCATTTGCACATGAGTATCATTAAATATAAAGCCTGTGACTTCCCTGGAGCTACTCAGGCAATCAGAACGCAACACAAAAGAAAAAAGGCCTTATGTCTCTTGAAATTCCTCACTTCGAAGTGCATGTCCACGAAAAATTGGCAACAGAAAAAAGAAAGTGAACTCTAAGACCTACTTAGGAGGCAGAGCAGTTAGCATAGTGCAAATACTGAAAATAATAAAAATTCTTCTTTTACTTATGCCTGGTGTTAATTTTGTTATCTGAAAATTGTTAGCCAAGTTTTCTACTCAGATTAACTGCGGTAAATTCATTCAATTAAATGCATTGTATGCTAGTAGGGAACTTGGCCCAAATTCCTTAATGCAAATTTTGATTGAAAAAAAACAAAGTGTGTTTTTCACTCTGCAAAGTGACTAAAATGGCATAAAGGAACATCCCATGGTTATCCTTCCCCCCCGCCCAGCAGCTGCATGTAAAGAATTCACCAAATTTACAAAGTTGTTTTTTGTTTAGTTTTATATACATAGCTATGCAAATTTATCTGAGTTGAGAAAGCCAATGTGCATTTCTGCTTTGAATATCACTTGTAACAGATTCTGTAGTTATAACTCAATTATGTTCAGTTTAGTTGGTTTAAGAAAGGCATGTTTCCTTTTCCTAAAAGTGTTTCGGAGCCAAAGACAGTCCGAACTTTTAAAAGGAAGAACTGACAGACAAGCAGTACATAGTTCTAAGTAAGAAGATGCCATTTTTAGCGAGACTTTTCTGACCATAATCACACTTTGAGTGCAGAACTGATTAAAAAACAAAAAGCCTTGGTGGAAGATTCACTATGAATGCATCATTGAACAACCATTTATAGAAGTAATATGGCAAAGCAAAATTACTTTGCAGAAATCTTTACAAATCTAGTTGAACAGAAATTGGAGAGTCCTTCATTTGTTGGATTACATGTATACCCCTGTGAACTGAAGCATTATAATTTACAAGTGTGAACTAAAAGTATTAGAAAAGTGAAGTAAAAAGCATATCACTCTACCTCCACCAGAACATCACTTTATTGTTTATCTGTCATCAACAATGTAAAACTCTACTAGATACTCTATCCTGGTTTTTTAAAAGGTAAAGATTACATTGGATTAGCTACGTTGTACGAAAGAAACTACAGCAATCACAGTAGAATGAATTGGAGGGACAATTTGTATTACAAAAAAGTGTACACTGCAAGCAGAGGGAAGTGCACATTAAATCAAATGCCTGTAGGATTCATTACTTTTAAATGCACAGTGACAATTTTGAGAAACTGTACATGATAGAATCACAGAAATGACTTTAAAATAACCAAAATTACATTTTGCATTTGACCATCCAACTCATAAGTAATCATTGATGTTCTGTATTTTCAGTGCTTTTGGAAAATTTGCATACCAAACAAAATTTAAGTTGTTAGTTTGACTAAACTGTGAAGTAGAAGGATTGAAATAAAAAGCAGATTGGAAGTACACCTAAACTACAAGAATAAGCCGAAAGGGGTATGCGAGGAGAGGCTGGAGGGGAAAGAAGAAAGGAAAGAGGAAAAGGAGAAGAGAACAAAAGGCTTCTTCTTCTATCTCAGAAGTTCTTCCAATGCAGCGTTTATCAGATGTACAGCTCTTCGCTTTCAGTCTATTTCTGAAGTTTACGTTTTGTAGCCTTTTCCTGTACTAACTGGTCATCTCAACCAGCACTGTTGCCAAGCAACAAGAGTAACAAGAATCTGAATGCATCAAATCTTCCTTTGCTGTGATTTCTTCATGGCCCCATTTTTTTCCATTTCTCTTTGAACAGGGTTTGGTGTTTCCTGAATTGTTCACAGGGTCAGGTGGAATTGAGTTCCAAATCACTCTGCGGTTTGTAGCATCCCGATTTCTTTCTGCGGCTAACCCCCAGACACGTTTGCAGTTCTTCCGGAGCAGAAACACAAACCGTGTTGCTCAAGCGGTGAGCTTTCACCCTTGACCGTGGGGGTTGCAGACCATTGTGTTTAGCGTATCCCTGAGTGCAGCTATCCTGCAGGATTCACTTCCCAGCGCACCGAGATTTCCTAGGTTTCCTCAGATTAAGCCCCGGTGTGCATCACCACCGACTGTGGTGCGGCTATGGATGCCTGAGGCCGAGTTGATTCTGGTGGATGTCTGACCTCGCTGAACCAGACTCGTCTGCTTTCTCCCTACTCATACCCAGGCAGTCCAACCTTCATACAGCTGAGCCAAGTTATCTAGATTAGTTGCTTCCTTAATCACAAAGTCAACCTATTAAAAAGTCAAACAAGAAATTTAAATACACTGGATTTTAAAGTATGTTCAGTGGTCTTAAAAATCAGCTGTTGAATGTTACCTGCATATATAAAGCCTCACTGAAAAAAAAATCTACAGCAACTGTACCTGTAATCTTACATAATTCCACATAATCCACAGAAGAAATTAGTGTGCCCTGGTGAAAGGGGTTAGGGAAAGGGATCATCTCATTCATAACCCCTGTTTGGAGAACAGTCCCACCATTCTCCAATTTACACAGGCATTTGCATCTGCTGACTTTAACAACTCGCACAGACAGCGGGGTTGTTATGTTGTACCGGTCAACAGACAAGTCCTGTCCACTAGACAGCTGTCAAAAAATCTAATGCCTTTGCTGGCTACCAGCAGCTGTGCAACCAACATTCGCCTAAGATACAACAGCAATTTTATCAGATTCATGAGCTTACATAAAATTTATGATGCAAGAAGTGCGAACATTTGATAAAAAATGAATTCAGCAACACAGGACAACTGCATACTTGACCTGCTTTGAAATATAAACAGCACATCAAGAGATAAAACCAGACCCCATTCACCATACTGTTTCATTTTTAAAGTTGCATTTTAGCAACCACATCCACGCGTGGGCATACAGACACACATATTCAAAGCAAGGCCTAGTAATTGAGCTTTACTAATTTCAACTCACCTGTTCAGCAACAGACATTCTCCTGTTGGGATCCACATCTCGGCCTTCTAACTTGGCTTTGACTCGCTTCCACACACTAACTGCATACGAATTCCTTTCCTGCACAGCTAAAAGCACAAAATAAGATTGTATTTTACAATTTCACAATTTCCAATACAGAAGCATACTTTGTTTCATTAAAAAAAAAAATTTAAAAAAGAAAAAACAAAGAAAGAAAAAAAGCCCACTGCATTCCTGTGTTTACCTTTTCCTGTTTTAGGGTCCCTAGCTGTCTTTTTAGGACTACAGGCAACACTTTTGCCAGTTCCTGGGACTGTGCTTGGAGGAGTATCTGCTGATGTGGCAAGGTTTTTCTGAATTAGCTTTCTTGCATTCTGTGACATCACCTCAGGCTGAGTTTTCTGCCCTGTGTTGCTCCGTACAGCTGTAAAATAATAAAAAAGTTTAAAGAATTTGAATTAAGCTACAGAGTTTCACTGAAATCTACTTTCTGAAACTAAATTTGCTTTCATAATACATTTAAATTAAAAATATATTCATCCAAATAAACCATCCACTATCTTTAGCTTTGCCTTCTTGCAGCATAATGATTTCTTCATCTTCCTTTATGAACTCTTAGGATCAAAACAAACGGTTGTGAAGACTGTGCCTTAACTGAGCTATCATGTCTCACTCCAGTAGCTTCAACTTGTGTTTTCAAGAATGCCTTTCGGCCTAAGAAAAAGGAGCCTTAAGGTAGATAAACTATATATTCAATGAAGTCTGAAATAAGAAGATATTTGTTCTTACCATGATTGCATTTTGCCTGTTAGGAAGTATTATCAAATACAGTTTTCAGTACTTCAATATAAACAAATGCTTCTTTGTCTGAACAGTTCTCTCCATTTTTCCCCCATTTCCTACTCTAATAAAAGCATTTTCCTTTCACTTCACAGAACTAAACCACAGGTTTTGTTCTACCACAAAATACTTACATAAAAAATAAGTTAACATACTCTTAGCCTGACTACAATTGTGTGTGGCAGGAGTAAAAAGCAATCTGGTCCTTCATGGGCATCAGGAAGCTATACTCCAAAGCTATAGTCCAAATACTGATAGCAGAATAATTCTTTAAATAAGAAATTCACACCCAAGTTAATTTTATACATGTTTTTGTGAATTGTGATGAAAAATATGAACATGAATGCATTTGCACAGTTATAGAATTTATTCCAAAGTTACCATAAGTTTCAACACTAGTTACCATTTAGATGATAACAGTATATAGTACACAGTAACGGGTCTCATGCATTCTGGGTTTTGTGAAGTAAATCCACATCTTGAAGGCTACTTGATCATCCAGCACTGAATGTTACGTGTCTGGAATTTTAGTGGCTATTAAAATCTTGAAAAACAGCTAGCCCTTGCAGGATGAATCAAGAATTATGATGTTCTCTCTAACATCAATTCCTCATGTTTGAATTTTGGTACTTTTTTAAAGCGTTACCTGCAGCAAAGGTTGGCTGATATGTAGCAGATGATGTTGGGCTTGAGCACTCATTCGATGTATCCGTGACTAAGGGCGATGCAAAACCCACTAGATTATTGTAGACACTGGAAAACACAGTACAGTTGATAATATTCAGGTGGCTATTTAAGTCATTCAAAATTTCAAAATGAAAGTCAGAAATCAAGTTTTGCAGGAAGATTTTAGCATGTTAAGACAACCACCAAGTAGGCAGGTGGTGCTGTGCCTCTGATGAAGGCGTTTCGCTTGTGCCTCTAACAAACAGAAGGGAACGTACCTTTGGCTCTGCGTTTTTAGTTCTTTCAAGGTGGGAGTTATTTCCTGCAGCATTTCAATATGCTCCTGACTGCGGACTTGACCCATTACCTGAACTAATGTAAACAAAACCGTCTGAATATTATCCTGCCACGATTTATATTCGCCCAAGAACTGCCTAACACTGTTCTCATAGGGAACATCTTCACCATCTGCCAAAGCTGCTTCTTCATCCTGTAAAAGAGATGTGTTTAAAATGTTTAACTATTCGTTACATTTTTAATAATAGAATGAAGTATAGCATTTCTTAGTGTTTCCAACCTCTCAGTTCATCATCTGGCCATAAAGAAACCACTATTTTCAAAGACTGCATCTCAAGAAAATAAATTTGAAAAAGATTATGTTTTACTGATTAAAAGCTAGAATTTTTTTAAATGCACTTTAAAAAAAAATACTCACCCACTTTCAACTACCAATAGCCAAAAAGTTTAGGTCAACCAAAACATGATTAACAGCTCTAGAGACACAACTTTATAAAATGGATTTGACATCTGGAATAATATACTACTATAGACATGAACAAAATTCCCTATTTTGCTTTTATAGGCACATATTGTATATACATATGCATACTTTATAAGCTGAACCATACTGACATTGTTTCCAGCAATAAAATTCAGTCACATTTCAGGCATACCTTTGCCATAGCTTTCAGCAGATGCTTGACATCACCAAGTTGTCTGTTATGACCAGTAAGCACAGTTTTAATACTATCCACCAGGTTCTGAATCGTTTCACAAACAGTTTCTATTTGCTGTTCTCTCTCTGTTTGTACCGTTCTTTGTGTAGATATTTCTTGGGTCAACTGCTTGTGAGCTGAGTGAAGCCATTCAGAGCTACCAATAGGATGTTCAAGACCAGTGCCCTAAAAGTGTCAGGAGTAAATAATTAGCTACATCCAGAGGTGAAACTCAATTACTGTATAGGTGCTATGACCACATGTACAGCAATCATGCAAACTGTTATCGATTACTCATTAGAAGATAAGCTCTCCATTTTTGCCTTTCATTCCACATAATGTGTTTATTACAGTAATTATGTCATGTTATAACCTTTAATCTTCACTCACCACTCTCTGAAGTAAGCGAAGCTCCAGTTCGGAGACTGAACTGTTAAACTGTGATGCAAACGTGCACATTTGTTGACAGCGTTTGAGAAGTTCAAATAATGCTGCATCCAGATTTAAGGCTTCTGCTGTTCTAGTACGTAAACTTTCAAAATGAATGATGTTACTGCAGAGGAATGTAACCTGAGAATCCAAGCAAAAACAAGAAAGAAGATATCCCAATTAAACATGTATTAAACTGCACATGTTCCATATTCTTAGAAAAATGACTTTTAAATACAGCAGTAAAGCTGCTCTGTTACACTAATATCATTTCCAATCCTGCGGTAATAGCGACTCATATTGCTTTTAAAGTGGGAACCTCCAAAGTATTTGGATTTCTATACTTGCTTTTAAAATGTTAAGGGGGAAAAAAAAAATCTTTCACCCAACTCAGTTATATTTCATGTAGACAGTAGTACCTGACTTGCTCTCTGACTTTCTTTAAGGACAAGGTTTCTTCTTTCAGCAATAGTCGCATCAAAGTCTTGTAAAACTGGTGCCAGTGCAGGATTAGCACCTCCTGCCCATTTTAAACGCTGCTCAATGCTCGCTTCGAGTGCTGCTAGCTTCTCCTGCAATGGGAAAAAACATAATAGAAAATATGCATGCATATGAACATATATTTATATATTATACGACACAGTCTATTAAGCTTAAGTTATACATAATAATTTATGCAGTCACATGGATTCTTATATCCACTTACGTAAAAGATTGTGGTCAACATGACTGACAGATGTAAGCTGAGACTGTTTTCAGCACACATCACAACTGGATTTGATTGTTATGAAAACAAAAATCACCTGTCTAGAATTTAACCCAGTAGAGAATGTCAGCAAATTAAATCACCACTTATCTAGATTAAAAACAAAATAAAATTACAGGAATATCGGACCTTTGTGCGAGTAATCTTCATAAAAAGAGATTATGAGCAGTATCTTAATAAAAATAAAGATTCAACAAGTTGCACAGTATGTACTAAACAGCCAACATCCTTGATTACTGTAATACCCTAAAGTCTTAAATAGAAACACACCAAAAAATATTTTTACAACAGCCTGTAAAGCTGAGCAGATTTTCAACATGTAGAAATTTTAACACTAAATAAAGCATTTGCCCAAACTGGAAGAAGAAGCTTTCAAGACTTCAAGCAAAATGGTGGTGAGGATCATTTAAAGAAGTGAAACTTAAAACAATATGAGTATGACCAGCCTTCAGAAGACAAGGTATTTTTATGTATTTTTTTTGTCCATAGAAGAGATTTACTTGTACAAAGAGTGTTGTGTACTGTGAGATGACTGAAAACAACAGTGTAATAGTATACAGCAGACAGAGCAAAACAAAGGCAAAGCAGACTGAAGGAGCAATGAAAACACCATCAAATGTGTGCTTAGATAACATGACGAGCTATCTGGAGGTGGCAGATAAATCTGTAATGTGTGGTTAGGAAGAGACATATTTCAACACTGCCGAAAAACACCCCCAATCGTAGCAGTACCTGGACTGTTGCAATTGAAGCTTCAATTTGACTGAGAGTATGAAGTTTCTTTTTCATGCTGGCTAAAATTGCAGACCGAGGTGGAGGAGTAACAGAGATGGCCTGTGGACGACTGATAAGAAGGTCTTCATGTTGCCACTTTTTTTTTTTTTTTTAAATAGGAAAAGACTTGGTTAGCAATATTACTCATCACAAAACACTTCACACTTCAAACAGCAAATCTAGCATTCTGGTACATCCTATAGTATGGACATTTCAAAAGGGCTATGTGTATAAGATGACACCAGCAGGTTTTCAAGTTCTGAATCATTATGGTATTAATTCTATAAATAGCATAAACCATGCTTTGTTAGATCGTATTAACTATGCCATTAATCAGTCCCTAGCTTACTAGAAGAAGCGATTTACACACATTTTCTTAGTGTAAAGAAAAACCCCTCGATCTTTGGAGAGAGTTCACTTGCGATACATTACAAAACAGACATAATTTTGCTTACCAACCCATGTAAAGGGTTAGTAATGATGTGGACAATGTCTTTACCCTAAACCTACAAGTCACTATAGAATGCAGATTGGTGATAGTACAATATAACTGAGTACAGACATACAATTCATTGCACATAATGACATTTATCTAAAGCCACTGAAGAATGTTTGTATGACCAATACAGCTGCTATTTATATTTGTTCCATGAGGCAGAGGGGAACAAGGAGTGAATTAAAACAGTGAAATTTGTAGGAACAATACAAGATGACAGCCAACAATATATATTTTAAGCGTGCACGTTCTTTGAATTCCTGCTTTTTCTTTTTAGAGGGGTAAAATAGCACAACATTGCTTGCAAGAAAACCAGTAAATTACATTTTTTCTAATAAATGACTTCATGGTTACTGAAAAAGTTGTGCATTTAGTCAAAAAGAATTTACATATTGTTACATTTGCATCTTAAAAGGCAGCTATCTTCTAGAGTAATTGGCTCCCTATATATTTAGGGAAGAATTAAAAGAATTAAACAGTATACTAAGTCAATTAAAATATACTAAAGTTCATTCAACAAAAAGTCCCTACAGTGCTCAGACACAGTAACTAAAACTTACTTTCCATAGGAAAATGTTTGCCAAGAACATACAGTCTCACCTGGAACATGGCAATGTGCAGCTGCACTCTCTGAAGACTCGTCTTGCAAGAGGAAATGCTGGTTTCAAGTCTGCGCACTAAATCATGCTTCTTCCATGCTGTATCGTATGAGCTAGCTAATACTGTTGCCCTGTTCATGACCAGCTGTGAGAACTTGCCAATCTGGATGTTGTGCTCCACAGCTTTCTTGCACAGGTCATCCACAGAAACCTTGCTTTCTGCTCCAAAGTCCTTGGCTTCTACCTGAGCAATGATATCCACACCCAAAGCACTGATGAAACTGCACAGCGTGAGTCCCAAAGCTTGATTTGGAAGGCCAATTAAAAGCTGCCTCACAAAGTCAGCAGTAAAAGCCTTGATCGGTTTGGCCATTTGGTCTTCACTAAAACAAGAGTTTCTATAAAGGGCTTTCACATTGACAATTTGAACAGGTCCATTTACTGTGTTCTGGTCTTCAAGTGAACTGATTCCTTTCAAAAGGAAGAAAGCGACAGTATTTTAGTTGTAAATTAAGCATGTGATACATTAATTTGATACATCAGATTTAGAAACGTAGCAAAATTAGAGGATTTACTTTTTTTTTTTGAAACTTCTAGCTCCTGGCCATATACAAAATATAAGCAGACAAAACAATATTGTATATTTGACAACATATTTATTTACCTGACAGTGTTTTAGAAAAGGTACCACAGAGTCTGAAGAATTCTTTAATTGTCTGAAGTCTCTTCAGAAAAAAAATTTCCTCTAGAACTTGTCGATTATTATCATCATCAAAGAAGTTAACTTGGGTGCTTCGGGCTTCCCTAATTATATCGATCTTACGCCAAGCAACGGGTATTTCCATCTTGTTTAGCTGAGCGATATAAAGAAAATATTTAATTTTGTTTTATAAAACTTTTACTCCTGACTCAAAGAGTACTTTGGGAAAATAACCACATACCTTTTCAATCAATAAGCCAAATGCAGTTTCCACTTGAGCAAACATTCCATCAAATGCTACCAAAAGCATCTGACCAGCTGACATTTTTGGAGTCTCATCAACTGAACCATTTCTTGGCTGTATCAGCTCACCATACTGAGCATGAAGCACTCTTAAAGAAAAAAAGTTACACATCTTTGCTTAGTCTACAATTAAAAAGCAGGATTAAAAAAAAGTTTGTCCATAGCTAGAGCAGATCTGAAACAAATCTTAACTGTGTTCAACTAAGTGAATTTTCTGCAGGTTCTTTTCCCCCTCCTCATCCAGATAGAGGATACCAACCATACTTCCTATATTATTTTTTTTTTTTTTTTTTTTTTGGTAAGATTCACCACATCATCGATGGTTTAGATCAGCCCCACCTAACTGGCTCAGCTTTTTACTTGGCAGGAAGCTTTTGAATTGCCTCAGCTGTCTAGGAAACGCTTCTCCAGAAAAGTACTGTCCTGTGGTACCAATTGCACAAGTTTGGCTAGCAAATCACTGAATCATTAGGCAAAAACTGGCCAAAGCTCCTGACAAGCAAGTGCCACAGTCACAAGCTCTCTCTTCAACCATGTTCCTCCCACAGAACTGTGGAGCAGTTCCCGTTTTGTTTTTTTTTCTTTTCCCCATCATTCCTTAAAAGCTTCAAATATAAAATCACAAGTACATAAATATTTTAGACTGTTAACTATCAAACAACTCAAGACTACCTTCAGCAGATATAAATGTTTCTATTGCTGTAGCTGTGTAATTTACTATAAAAATCTATATATCTTCTTAGGGGTATTCCATGGAAAGAGAAACCTGTATTTCAAACACATAATCCAACATAGCCAAATTTATCAGCAAGAAGGTATATGAAGACTTCTGACTGTACTAAAGCTGAACCACGAAGTGTATGTGATTTACCTTGCAACATCAATGTAATGAGTATGTGTTTCTTCCTCCAGTCCCATAGCTGCATTCCTTAAATAGGCTTGGAGAGATTCAACCAGCGTTTGCAAAGGGACTCCATCAGTTGTTTGCTCAATAAGATTATCTAATTCATGAAGCATACTTTCTAAAGTGTACTCTCCTTTCATTAGGCACCTAAGTGCTTCAGGAAAAATGATCTGCCGAAAGTTTGAGTTTAATTCCTGTTGAGAATTAAGTTAGAACTTTTAGAACTCATTAGAACTTTTCTCCTCCCCCCAAATCACATACAACATCTTTCCAAATGATTTACATTTTTCTTTCACATTATGGAACTATAAATGAGTTAAACTATTATACTTGGCTCTATAAAATAGGTTTTCAGAATTTGTTTCAGACTAGATTTCTTCTCTTGTTCAACTAAGCCTTTGAAGGTGCAGGAAAACAGAGCATATTTGAAGTTGTTCTGGACTAGCAGCAAAAGAATTAAAGAATAAGACACAAAGCTATTCTTAAGCTATTCTTCTACTATCAACTTTTTTCATGGTTATTCCACAGTAGTCTTAAAAACCTTGTCGTGTATAGACCGAAATGGTTTCTTCTGACCAATAAAAATGTAAATAGAAGTTGTAAATGGCTCATCAACTCAGTGAAAAAGTGGAGTAACACCCCAAACAGTAGCAGCAATACCATGAACAAGCATTGAACTGTTTTTTAGGCAGGATTTGTTAGGAATGTTTAAAAGGTTCAGTATGAGGGAAGCAAAAAGAAAAATTGTCACCTGAAGCGAGATGTATACTCCATTAGCCAAATGTACAGCTTCTGATGCTTCAATCGGGTTGGGGATATCCAAGTCTTGAGGTACAAGATGACACTGCTTCAGCAACTGTACTAGGCACGTGACATTCCCACTCATGCTGCACAGCTCCTCCAAGAACCAGGCTCCGTCTCTCGAGGTGAGATCAACCAGCTGCTCTCCAGCACTAGACGCTGCACCTTCCATCATCAGATTCCGCCTAGACCAGTTACGATGCTTAGTTTAATGAGTGGATAACCACATGCTATTGCATGCCCCGCATTAACATGTCACTTGGAATACTCCTTTAAAACATGAATAAATACAAAAAAGTCTCAAGAGGCGCCTCACCTCGTAAGCGTGCAGAGAGCAGAGATGATGACGCTTGCTAAGCTCAGGGAGCCCTCCTCTCCATTTTCATGAAGAAAAACTTTTATGCAACGTTCAATTTCTTTCAGCTGCTCCTCACAGACAGGTACAGTAACTGCTTCTTGTTTCAAACGCTCCACCTGCCTGATGAGCCTGCTATTTATATCTGCTGCATAGCGCTGCAGAGTCATTTCCGTAGCAGTTATGAACTGGCACATGCTTGGAGGCGGCTGAGGAGCATATTGCATTTCGTACCTGTAAAGCAAGAGCACAATGACAACATTCTCCCTTCTCAAGCTCTAGCAAGTTGCATTCTACTCCCTGGGAAGGAAAAAAAAAAAATACACCACATTTGAACGGTTATCACACCATGCGCTTTATCAACCTAAAATACCCCAGCAGTCAACGACTGTCCTGCCGACCCTTTCATAAAGCATTACAGAAAACATGACATTCCACTACTATCTGCAAGCACAGAGAGCATCCAAATAGAAGTCATCTAGGCAAATAGAGATGATACGGAATAGGAAGGACACAGATTTCAGTAAAAACACCTGATTCTAAACTAAAACACACAGGCTAAGCATTAAGAATGCTGTAATGGCCTCGTTTTGGAGAGCGGAGAAAAAAAAAGCTAGAAAATTTTATTTGATCAAAGAAAGTCCCTGGTAGATGTGGTGGTTTTTAAATATTATTCTCCTAAAATCCCCAGTTAAAACTATGCTAAAGTCACACCCTGTCATTTATATTTTCATGACAAGAAAAAGTTACTTAGTTTTCTTTTTGCAATCAATAGGAAGACTCTGAAGCAAGGTATTTAAAACAACCTATTATTTATTTTCCCCCTCTCTTCAGGCTTCTGAAAAATTACTATTTAAACTTGTTTTGGGAGCCCCAATTTAATTACACAGCAAAACTCTATTTTAATTTAAAAAATAAAATTCTAAAATAGTTTGAACACTAAATTATTCTTCTTGAGAAAAATCAATTATTTTGCAAACTTACTTCCTGAAGATATCCTGGCAGCGCTCTATTGTCATGTTACAAATAAGTTCTTCCATCCAAGTTTTCCATTGCTCAATTCGGTGCTTCTGAAATACAGCTTTTGGATACTGAAGCGCTACAGTTGCATAGTTGTGCAGCTGTTCAAGACAACCACGTAAAACAGATCTTCTCTGCTGAAGAAGAGCACCAACTTCCCCTTCTAATTGTTCACACTGACTGATTAGATGGGCCTGGCCTGCATTTTGCAGAAATGCTGTTGCTGGTACATAACTGGGAGGACCTTTTAAGAAAGACAGTTAAACAATTAACCTGCATTGAACTCCAAAGCCCACATACTTCAGAGCACCAGGTATTAAAGTCTTTTCCAAAGCAGTGTCACCTGTGGTGAAGAAGGTATTGACTATTTAAACTGCCGATTTTATATCCAAGGTAAAAGAATAATGTACATGGCTAGCGCAACAGAGGCAAGCTCACGTTTTCAGGCAGCTTGAAACAGAGGACTTGTGCTGTTCTAAATCACCTTTGGAGAACCCTTGTCTTTTCATGTATTACACATACAGGAATGTCTTTAAATTGGGTATATTCATAATGCTTCCTGACATTAAACTCTAGTTATTTTCAACTCACCAGGGAAAACAAAATAGAAACACCACCACCACCACCCCTCCCCAAAAAGACAGCAGACACGCACAGAGATACTATTTTATACCTAAGTCCATTTGCGTGCTTATTTCTTGAAGTAGACTTGCAAGTTGTGTTGCCTCTAAATTGTTGAAAGCAGCTTGGTAATGCGTTATCCACTGCTCAAATTCGTTGAGCTTCACCTGGATTGCTTCCTGGACAGCTCTTTGTTGAGACTGCAACTGTGTGTGCTCAGAATATCTAAATTAATGAAGTCACAAAATCAAGTAAATACTACCAGAAAACAAAAAGTACTGAAGTATACTGAAAACTATGGTGAACAATACTTCTTTTTCATCATAGTAGGGTAAGATACCCTTACCAGTTACATGAGGCTTACAGAAATAAACATTGTGTTAATTATGGTTTCCTACAAAATAAAGTGCGTGCATGCACACTTATTCATTCAATTTTGAAATCCTTGATCGATTTCAAATAAACTTGAAAAATGATTTGAAGAGTTAAGAAAAAAAAAGTGTCATTTATCAGCAGCTGAGCAGTGATCCAAATTAGTAACCATACTGAAGCAAAAAGCAGGCTTATCTCAGGCATTATGTTCGTGATTTGACAGCTGCTGGCTGTCAGTATATTTGGAACACATGATAGCAGAGGTTAATGAGGAGATATGAGGCATAGGACATAAAGATAATTCAGTAGAATAATGTGTTTCAGTAGCTTTCCACAAAGAATGAGCTGTTTACAATAACACTAGTTACCAACAATACCAAGCTTTGAGATCCCTGACAGAATGCCTGGCTCCTCTATACCTGTGCTGAAGTGTGTGAGAGGGATGATCCACTCCTTCTGCACCTTCCAGAAATTCTATCTCCTCCAGTAGTTTTCCCTGCAATTTTTCCACATCTGTCAACTGTTCTTGTAAGTTCAGATATTCTTCTAAACTACTGTCCAATTTTGGAAGCACAGAGAGCATCTCATCTCTGTTCTTAAACCAGTTAACCTACAAGCAAGATACAGAAAATTGTAAAACTAGGGTTAGTTCAAACGGGCAATAAAAAATGTAAGGCAAAACCCAAGGTTTCAATCATGTTCATTTAGAATTACCTTCAATGCTACAGGTCTAAATATTAAGACATGTTAGACCACTCTCTAAACTTCTATTTTTATTTATCCACCCATGTTTTAGAGTTGAGCACACAGACAAACCAAAAACTAAATATTCCCAAGTTCCATATAAGCGCTTCCCCAATTTAGCACAATAGAGCTGGCAGTTATTTCTAATAAATGACTACCTCACCTCCACCACACCTCCATGTTATATGGTCTATTTTGGTTATGTAATAAAAAGTTATTGCAAAATTAAAAGAGTTATTGTAGTGAGCTTACTTTTATCTCAGCCACTCTAGAAGAAAAGAGGCTACGTGTGATATCTCTTTCCATTTCCCTTTTGCTCTGCTTGTTTTCAGCCTGCTGGCCACCCCCACCATAGACTGCTCCTGCAAATCCTGCTTCGCCTCCTGCTGTCCAGTCCACCAGAGGATCATACACAAAAGCTTCAAGCAACGTAAGCAGCGTTTCTCTCCCACGCCGCATGATATGTAGCACCTGCATCGTATATTTTAAACAGACTTATTCTGAGTTTGTCACTGTAGATCAGTGAAATTTTAAATGCAAAATGCTGTATTTCAATAAGTATAGAAATCCATAGTTTATCCATAACCACCTCAAAGACAGGATCATCACACCACCATGTACAAATTCAACTAGCCTATTGTACCATTACTAAAATTTAAGTTTGCAGTCTAACATTCCTCACCAACTCTATCCTCTTTAACAACATCACCTTGAGGAAGAAACACCTCCTCATAGTAATCATATTTGTCATGGTTATAGAGCATGAAGAAAGAGAGTAAGCAAAACTTCGTAAGTTGCTTTACTCAAATATTTTTTGGATTCAAAATGGAAGAAGACTAAATCACAAAACACAAAAGTGTCATGGCTACAAGCTTTATGAAGAGCCATCTTGCTCATTTGGTACAGCATTGAAGGAGCAGAATGCTTACCAGGGAAATTCTAAAACAACATATGGTAAATGAAAGCCCTGTTTTTGGCACGTTTCCTAGCTTACCTGTTCACAAGAAAGCCTAAAAACCCCTTCTACTCCTGTCACGCCAAGTGCTGTTTCAATATTGTGCGTCATCCGGAATGGAACCTTCTCTGGTACCCTAAGGCTTTTCCCTTTAAGATAAAAGTTAAAGTTGGTTCTTTTAAAAGTAAGAAAAATGAATCATTTTATTTGAATAACATATAGCACTTTTTAAATTACCTTTTTCAAAGCAAACATTATAATCTATGTGGACAACTTCTCCTGTAGTCATATCTATAAGAACATTATCCAGATGTCTGTCTCCAAGACCAATGATGTAGCCAACCATGGACATAACTGCAGTGGATCTTGCATACGACTTTAAAGAGAGTTTCAGGAAAAAAATTATTTGTGGGAATCTTCTGCCAACACACTGGACTGACTACCATCTTAAAATATTATTGAAATTGTAGGTGTAAGACATATCAAAACCAACTTATCCCAAGCTGTTTGTTGTCTGATGGTATCTTACAACAGTTCATTTTGTAAGCTAACAGCTCTACATTAACAAACTGTGGTTATCGGGTATATTCTCCTTTCTTACTCTAGATGGCACAGTTTGTCAGGCAACATTTCCTGCTATGTGAAACAGCAGCAGTGCTAGCTCACTTAACTAGAGAGCATTATGGATAAAAAACATCCCATTAAGAATATAGCCTTTCAAAATAGAAAATGTAACTGCTACAGCTTACCTGTGTAACTCTCCACCATTCATCAGGTGTAGTGCATGATGACCAAAGTTCTTTAGCTAGAAGATTCGGTGGAGTCGCTTCCATCAATTCCTCTAGAACAGCCCTCATTACATTCAAGGGCCAGTCACGGCGAGACACATCGAGACTGAGCCCAACTGCCTTTAAAGCAGGTCCAATTTTGCTGTAGTAAAGCTCACTGGGTCGAGGCACTATTCCAGGATTCTGAGGAGTCTGGTAAGAATCCTGAGCCTAGAAGAGAGAAATAATGCTAGTTTACATATTGCAGCTCACTACCACAGAGCCGCATCTCAAAGTCAGTTTGGCAAGAACAACATGAAATCGACTTTTCTAGTCTTTCACAGTTCAAAGAATTATTTTAAAATTCCAATTCACATTTTGTTGTAGCCTAACTCTGCCACTACCAAGGTCGATTCCAAAACTCCCACCAAGTTATATCGAAAATGAAGTTAAAAATAGGATGCGAAGCTAAGATGATTTAAACCAAGTTTATTCCAAAACAGTTCTCTCTGAATCAGCTATTTAAAGCCAAGTAAGACCGTAACACAAATCAAGGGGTTTCCTTTTGAAGGGTATCAACTGGCAAAAACAGTTGTTACCTTTTGTGCTTGTAAAGCAGCTTCCCGCTGTTGCCATCTCTTGTAAAGACCAAACAAAGGTGTAGCTCCATCCACCCACTGAATCAAGCCTGATCTTGTTCCCAAAGGTGTCACAGAATAGTGCCTCGCGTGGAACCTTGGTGTCTCTTGGCGGTTAATGGTAGCAAACATTGTGTTCACAATTGATAAGAACTGCATGATTCTTTCATCTAGATGCAAGTCTTCCAAACCTGTGTTAATTAATTTTGTTTCAAACTCAGTTTCTAGAAATAAAATTCTTATCCTTAAACAAGGCCAAAATACGGCATTTCTGAAATCATAACTCATTTCAGATTGATCCTATCAACAGGCAAGCAGAATACTGTTTCTGATGCAACTCTAGACGAACAGATATGAAAACTTTTATTTAGAGCTTCATGGGGTAAAAACCCTAGAATATACAGGAAAGCAGTGAGGGAAAAGGTACAAACAGTCTCTCCATATCATGAGGTTACATGAAAAAGCTGCAACAGCACATCTTCCCAAAGTTGTTATAATCTGTCTCATCTATAGTAAGAGACAAACTTTTATGAAAAAAACTATAGCTTACCTTTAAAAAGGTATGGATAGTTCTTCCCATCTGAACCCAGGAAAAGCAGCTTTTTCGGTTTGGTTTTGGTAGGCAGAATTGTGATAGTGTTGCCCACACTATGAATTGTCACTGTGTCTCTGGTGGATACTTCTCCAGGGAGGGCTATTTCAGTGTTCATCATGGCAGCCAACCAGGGACTGATTTCTTCAAGTCGTAAAAGGTAACTAGCCCTTTTCTGTGCTCTTTGCTGCAAGCTTAGCATAACCTATTCCAAAGAAATTTTTGTTAAGATTCACCTTAGCAGCAAGCATTAAAACAAAACAAACAAAAAAACCACACATACAGCCAAGCAAAAAACACACAAAATAATTCCATCAGGTAGAAAGATAACAATGCACATAGTCAAGGTATCAATAGCAATTGTTAAGGTGGCAAAAAATTACTGTTTCTTACTCTGAAACATGCCTTTTGTGAATGCTGGCTGCAACTACAAAATGACAGAAGAATAGCAATAAAAAGCTAAGGAGAGACTCAAGCACATACTGCAACAAGAATGTTTACAGCCTTTATATCATATTATTAGGCTGTTCACACTATACCTCTTTAAATGGAAGCCAGCTGCTTCCAGGTTTAGCAGGATTCAAAGGATTCTTAAGTTTCTCTAGTGCATTTTCAATAGCATCTCCATAGTTATCCTGAAACCATTTCTCATGAGGAGTTTCGGCAGGAGCTGCAGTGATGCTCCGGACATGCTCCAGAGCAAATACGATGGGCTTCATTAGCGCTGTGTGCTTCTCTCGCATGATTGCTATCTTTTCTTCTCTGTTAAGAAATAAAATTCTCTTAGTTCCATAAACAATTTGAACATCAAAATGTACCACACGTGAGACCTCAAACAAGAAAATATTTACATCTCTAAAAAGAGGCCTTCATGGATGGCCATATTAAAAGGAAAAACTATTTCCTTCCACAGTAAACACATATGCTTCTGAATTGTACTGAAACACTGAATATGACCTTTCACTGCTGAACAGAAACTCAGACAGTGATCCTAAATATTCTGCTTTCCCATTCCAAGGGAGACTTGACTACAGAATTCAAGAGGCATTTTTCAACTTAGTAAGCACCCAATGAATTGCTTTCCTCTTCTGTAAATCCATTCAAAGTAACTGCCAGAAACACAGGTACAAGAGGAAATAAAGCTTGCTAAATACTAAAAAACAGAAGTGGTTTAAGGAATTCTGTTTATCCTATCCATTTAGTATAAACTTCAAACAGGCCACTACCCTTAACATGCCTTTCCTCATCTCAGCAGACTTGTAAGACAGACTGCGGAAATAGCACTATAGGATGGCAAAAACATTTATCATATTATCACTATGTGAATGATAGCAAGGGTTCACAGATGGACACTGCTGCTCTTATCACTTCTGATTTGATTACATAACTAGCCATAAGAATCAAAACGCTCATGGATTGAAAACTGGCTCGCACAAAAGTAGCTAGCACCATGCAAATTTAGGAGCAACAACACTGGTGGTAAAACTGCCTGCATGTTTCCCCAAGAAGGTTCCCCAAGAACAATCTTTTGCACAACTTTCACTCAAATAATACACAAAAACATACTTCCGTAGAGTGTTGTTGTTTTGAACCCTCTTGACTTCATCTTCCAGTTGCTGAATCCTTCTGAGGACATACATGTGCTGCTGCAGTAAAACCCCCAACCAAAGCTCATCCCAGAGAACTGTAACTCTGCGTAATTCGGCCACAAGCATCTGAACCTGTATAACAAACATTTATTTACTTCTGTAGATGAACAACTTGGAAAAAAGACGACAGTCTAACAGAATTAAGATGCAACAAAACTTTCAATTTCCTTCCACGCAAGATATGTAAATTACATATTTTTGATTTCAAGTGAAAGCATTAGCAACACACATTTTGCTTATTTACCTGCAATACCATTGTTGGATTTGCGGTAGAGAGTTTCTCCACGATTTTGCTGTAACAGTCCTGCATCATTGCTTGATCTTCATTTAGTCCAACTTTTGTGTCATCTTTAGCACTTTCTTGAGAAGTCGGAGGGCTCCCTCCATCACATTCACCCCCCAGTAATTCTTCTCCTTGAATATTGCCTAGCAAAGTAGGGATGGCAGAAGGGAGCTTGTTCCCTAAATATAAAAAGATGTTCCAATATTACCTCTGCTGGTCTGGCCTCAAAAACCAATACCATGCCACACGTCTTTAGCATCAGAACCCCACATTACACTAATTCCTGTGCAAGTACATGTTGATACAATTGAAAAAAATGACTTTTTTTTTTCTTTTAAATCTATATCAAAAGATATTAGTCATGTCCCACAATACTGAAGATCTTATGGAGGAAAGTATCAAGGAGTCAGAAGAGAAGAAATCAGTATGATTTTAGCTAGTATATAAAACACATCAGCTAAAACACATCTGAATGTTTTTCTTCTATACCTGATGTTTGGGATTCACTGCTAAGTGAGATGGTGCCCACTATGGCGGGATACAGTATGAGATGAGGAGAATCTTGAGCCACTCGACACAACAGGTTGCAAATACTTTGACGAACGTACACTTCTGGGTGATTCAGGCGGGAGAAGAGCTGAGGAATAATACCTTTATACACAGGACAAGAAAGGGTGCTGAGTCACTCTGCACATCGCAAATGACAGCGCTGTCTTTTTAAAAAACGAGAAACAAAATGCACAGCTATTCTTGCATTAACAGAACGACCAGTTTCCCAATAAAAGTTTCTTTTAAATAATGTTTTCTACAATACAGATACTAGTTTATTTTCTTCTTCTATTCAAAAGCCAAAGACATCAAATGCAATGTACAAATCCTGCAATAAAGCACCAGGAATTGAGTTTTGCACACTATATTTGTGGTATCTTTTTGTAAAAAAGAAAACAAACAAAAAAGCACACAAAATTAGAAAAAGGTCACATCAGTAGCTCTTTGTTTCAGAGAAACTGGATGCTTTTCAAAGAGCAGTGCAATTTTGCAACAGCTGATCTCTTCCTGTACCGCCTTCTGCACTTTTACTCAACAATTTTTTTTGTGTGAAGGCTTCTGATTAATCAGGACCAGTAGTGCGGTGCTAAACTGTGTCTACCAAAACATTTGTCTTTGGACAGTGGTTAAGAAGTTTAAAGATGCTTAAAGATACATCTCTTCTGTGAAGCGTTTTTCAAACTAATTAGAAAAAAACTTTTTTTTTTTTTTTTAAAGGAACATACAGCAGTACTTCAAATTAAGTTTGTTTTTTTTTTCTTCTCCTTTCAATGTTTTAAAGAGAAATAGGGGGGGAAAGAACCCCTTTTAGTGATCTGTTCTAAAAATAAGAGTAATTGAAACTGGAGAAGATCTTGAATAATATCGAGCAAAAGCAGAATTTAAAAAGCCCGGTCTTGATCATGCTTACATATGTACTTTATGAAAGTAAAATGAATAATTTAACTAAATATAAATAAGCAGAAAATGAAAAATTAATTTTAACAACTAACATGCAATTACCTCTCCAAGGAGCAGTAGGTGTAGTTTCTAGTCCATGCTCTAGATACTGTCGAAGTTCCCCAGCATGTTTCACAAGCAAACGTAACAATCTTAAGGTTGCCATCACAATAACATCATCAGTGCTTTGCTCAGAAGTATTTCTTAAATGCAACCTAGGGTCATCTTCATCAAGAGGAACCTTATATATCAAGCACAGAAATAATACTCTTAGCTAACCATTTAGCACACATTATTTAGAAATATTTGTAATTTAAACTCTCCTCACCAGCACGACACTAACCTGACCAGCGTTCAGTTTGAGAAAAGTAAAATATGCACTGCAGGAGAGTTTATAGAGACTGAAGATTCTGTCTACAACTTTTCTCCACACTTTAATTAACCCTTCTGTTGCATTTTCATCAAGATCTGAAAGCCAGGGACAACTTGTTAATAACTGACGCCATATAACATCCACCATATCATCTTCTTCATTGTCTTCATTTTCAGTGATTTGTAGAGTCATATCTTCATCCTAAGTGTAAATAAAGAGATAGTAAGTCCTCCCACTACTTCTACAAACACACATCAGACGCTGATCCAGTTCTTATTCGGGCAACTCACTCAGCTGCCTTATGCAATCATACTATCAGCAGCTACAGAGCAGATGTGGTACTACTTAGCTGATCAGTGACTTCCTGAGAGCTTTTATATTATCTCAGTTTTATCTTTCAAATATTTACAAGAACTAATACAATTCACAAGTAGAGGAAAATCAAGTTTCAAACCAGAGCAGAGTTTTTTTAAGCAAGTAAATTTCCCACTTACTTGAATACCAGCTGGACGACACACTGCCTGCCCAAGAATTCCATAGATTTTCTCTTTATCTTCCTCTGTAATGCTGTCTGGAAGCAAGCTCTGAACTTCAGATTTCTCCCGGGGTAGCAGGCGAACACCTTCTCCCTGACTGTAATATTTAATGAGTTATAGACCTTCAAAGTATTATTTGCAGAACTGAACCTATTAACATTATCTAAAACATCATTAAACTCCCTCCTATTTAGAGGAGGCAAGTAATCAAGAGAACACTTGCAATTCTCTGCTCTCACATGACTTATAGAGAACTCCAGCCATAAATACAAAGCTACAGTTCCTCTTGAAAGAGGTAACTTATGTTTTATAAATTAAAAGTTAGGATGAATGTACCTGGCATTATCAACTACTTTGCGGCCCCATCTGTAAGCCCAACTAGCAAGGGCTGCCCACGACTTGGCTACTTCAGGTGCCTGCACTGAAGACAAGTGATAGAGTTGTCCCAAAATGAAGTCAGGCTCTCCAACTCCAATATTTACTGTGTTGGGAGAAAAAGCAACACGCATGATTATGTATTATGAGTTAAAATCTGCTACCAGTTTCCTCAGCACACAGAGTAATAAAGTATTAGAAGTACATCGTATTCTTTTGACCAATTAGTATCCCCCAAAAGTCCAGTTTTCCAAATAACAATTTTTCTTCATCTCTGACATGGTTGGCAAAGCAAAGACCAGATTTACATATACTAACAACACTACAATTGCTTTCTCTCACTTTCTTAGAAAAATGGAAGTAAAATTAAAGCCTTATGATCTCCATAACACCCAGATAGTATGCTTTAGAAAGGAAACTTCTATGCATTTCCTAATAGGGGCTCACCCGCTTATTTAACCAACATAATAAATATGAATGAATGTAAATAAATGAATTTTACACTTTGCAAGAGGGAAACTAAATTTATATAAGACCAGACCTAAACAAAGGGAAAACTTTATCCTGAGATGTGAAGAGACTTCTCTACTGAAAGCAGAGACTTAAACTGTTGCCATAAAATACAAGAAGTATTGAAAGTAAATGTAGATTAAACATCACGAGAAAACTTTAGGTAACCCTTTTTCATGCTCACAAGGGCCTTCTTGTCCAGTATATAATCACTTGGGTAGCAAAAATATCAGTAAAATAATAATGCATCAACATTAATTTTAAAAATCGTGCAATTATGTACAATGTATTTTATACGTACATGCAAACAAATACACAAGTGACCCAGCACTCAGCCTTTACCAATTTCACAGTGGTTACATTTTAGGAAAATCAGTTACTAATAAAAAAATAAAATAATAAAAAAAAGGAGCAGAACATCTCTACCTGTAGATTCACTTTCAATTCTGGGGTATTCTTCTTCTAGTGTATTGACCGCTGGGAGATCAATCAATGTATATATGTTTTTAGACAAGGTAGACAGACCAGTGAGATTCTGCTGCTGTCGAGCTCTATACACTTGTTTCAATTGTCCCGATATTTCTTTCCATTCTGTCTGAATCCATTTAGCCAGAGTGAGAATAGATTTAGCGACTGCATATTCAGCTTTGGCAGACTTGCAAAAGGATATGGCACAAGAACTCAGCATTTCCATAGCATGAGTGGACTGACCTGCATATCATTAAGAGTGTATTTTCAGTAAAGTGTTAATTTAATTCAAAGTGCTTCTAAAAGTCAGCATATTCAGATAGAGCTTGCAATACATTTTACAGAGAAGGCTTGCATTAGGTTTTTCTTCACTAGTCATCCTTAATTTCAATTTGAAAACACTTTCAGATTGAGACAATAGCTAACAGGATGAAATTACTAATGATATTGCTCTACTGTGATTTCTTCAAGGTCAGGGGAATAAGCCTGATTACAAGGAAAAGAAACTCAAGTATCTAAAATGATCACACTCACCTGCTGTATATAATAACTTTGTTTTTTCAATATCAAGTTCAGGACCCCATTTTTCATCCATCTGACCTGGTGCAGACAATTTTTTAAAGTGCTGGACTAAATCTTGTGCAGTGGTGGTTTTTCCTAGCTGAACTTCGCTGCACT